TAAAGCAATTATCCTCCAATTAAAAATAAAATAAAATGTAAAAAATAAATATAAAGGCACCTATAGATTGAAAATATATGGATATAAAAATTATACCATGCAAATTATAGATATAAGGCTTTGTTGTTGTTAAGCTGCTAAATTGTTTCTGACTCTGCCCATGGGAATTCCCAGGCAAGAATACTGGAATGGATTTCCATTTCCTTCTCCAGGGGGTCTTCCTGACCCAGGGAGCAAACCCACATCTTCTGCATTAGCAGGTGGATTTTTTACCGCTGAGCCACCAGGGAAGCCCCAAGTACGAGGCTACTGCTCCTGCTGCTGCTAAGTCACTTCAGTCGTGTCCGACTCTGTGCGACCCCACCCCTGGGATTCTCCAGGCAAGGACACTGCAGTGGGTTGCCATTTCCTTCTCCAATGCATAAAAGTGAAAAGTGAAAGTGAGGTCGTTCAGCCATGTCCGACTCTTCGAGACCCCATGGACTGCAGCCTACCAGGCTCTTCCCTCCATGGGATTTTCCAGGCAAGAGTACTGGAGTGGTGTGCCATTGCCTTCTGTCACTATATTAAGAGTAGACAAGGTAGAGTTCAATAAAAAGAGTATTACTAGAGATAAAAGGGGACAATTCATAATGATGAAAGGGTCAATTCACCAGGAGGCTGTAACAACCATGTCTGTAACTGTCTGATAATAAAGTTTCAAATATGCACAGAATTAAAGGGGAAAATAGACAAGTCCATAATCAAAGCTGGAGATTGTAATACTCTCAGCAATTAAGAGAACAATAGAGCTCCCCCAAATCAGGAAAGACATAGAAGATATGAATGACACTCTTAGCTGCCTTTATCTAATTGGTATTTGTAGAACACTCCACAAAACACCCGCAAAACACATATTCTTTTCGAGGGCATGTGAAACATTTACCAAGATAGCCCATATGCTGGGCCATAAAACAAGTCTCCATAAAGGAGTGAACTCATACAGAATATGTTCTCTGGTCACAAACTGAATTAAACTGTAAATCAGTAACAATAAAATATTCATTCAAACCCCAAATATTTGCCCAAAATGAGTTGTGATAAAGCCTCTTCCTGCTCAGTAATCTCTATTCATTCCCCTTGACAACCGAAGCAAATAAAGACTCCTGATTCCTCCATCTGCCCTCCAGACCTCTACGGCATGGCCCCAGCCTGTCTTTTCAGGGTTATCATTGTTCCTCTGCATCAGTGGTTCTTAAACTTTAGGGTGAGTAGTGATCATTGGGTTCCTACTAAAATTCAAATCTCAGAGGTGAAACTCTAGAATTTGATGAAGCAGATTATAAGGGGGCCCAAGAACGTGCATTTTAAACCAAGGCAGTAGGAGATTGTGATGCCATTGGTTTGGGACCAGGTTTATTTATTGAGAAACTGTTCTACATGTCCCTATGATTCAGCTCAGATGGGTAGTTTTGTGCTTTCCAACACCATCCTAAGTTTCCCTGCTTTTCTCTCTGATCATGGTGGGACAAGGTAGACCAGTGAAGGGGGCAGGGGAGGAATGTGAGCTTGGAACAAGGCTGGCCTGGAGTCTTGACTACATTATTATTTGCTGACCAGTCTTGAGCAAGTGACTTAACCTCTCTGAACCTCTGCTTTCTCATTCAGAAAATGGAGATAGAATCACCTACCTCATAGTGTTGTGATGAGAAATAAATGACACAATTGGCATATATTACCTGGTACACCTCAGAAACTGGTATTGGCACAAGAGCCTCCTGTTCTAGAGGTTCGTTCAGATCTCTCTGAGCTGACACCTCTTCTCTCTCATTCCAGCCCCTGTCCTGTCTCTCACACTCGTTTCCCTCTGCCTCTAGCTTTATGAATTCTTGCTTTCATTCTTGCCACACCCATTAGATTATAAACCCCCTGAGTGCAGGAATAGTCATTCAATGGAGTTATGGATTAGTAGCACACACTACAGGGGGTAAGAGGACATACTTCATATTTTGTTTTCTGAATACAAAAAGAAATATGTAACATTTGACAATTTATGTCCCTGCCTTCCACCTTTCATTATTACTGATCTTAAGACACTGCCTGTATCCAGTTCCCACAAAAAGTGGAGAGTCAGCAAAAAGAATTGCAGCTGTAGAAATTGATTCCTTGAGTACAAAATGAAGCAGGGCAAAGGCTAACAGAGTTTTACCAAGAGAATGCACTGGCTATAACAAACACCTTCTTCCGATAACACAAGAGACAACTCTACATATGGACACATCAGATGGGCAATACCAAAAGCAGATTGATTTTTTTTTTTTTTTTGCAGCCAAAGATGGAGAAGCTCTCCATAGTCAACAAAAACAAGATTGGGAGCTGACAGTGGCTCAGATCATGAACTCCTTATTGCAAAATTCAGACTTAAATTGAAGAAAGTAGGAAAAACCAGTAGGCCATTCAAGTATGATCTAAATCAAATCCTTTATGATTATATAGTGAAAGTGACAAATAGATTCAAGGGATTAGATCTGATAGACAGAGTGCCTGAAGAACTATGGATGGAGGTTTGTAACATTGTACAGGGGGTGGTGACCAAAACCATCCCCAAGAAAAACAAATGCAAGAAGGCAAAAAGTTTCTCTGAGGAGGACTTACAAATAATTGAGAAAAGAAGAGCAGTGAAAGGCAAAGGAGAAAGGGAAAAATTTACTCAACAGAATGCAGAGTTCCAAAGAATAGCAAGGAGAGATTAGAAAGCCTTCTTCAGTGAACAGTGCAAAGAAACAGAGGAAGACAATAGAATGGGAAAGACTAGAAATATCTTCAAGAAGTTTGAGTAAGCTCCAGGAGTTGGTGATGGACAGGGAAGCCTGGTGTGCTGCAGTCCATGGGGCCGTAAAGAGTCGGACAGGACTGAGCAACTGAACTGAACTGAACTTCAAGAAAACTAGAGATACCAAGGGAACATTTTCTGCAAATTTGGGCACAATAAAGGACAGAAACAGCAAGGACCTAACAGAAGCAGAAGATACTAAGAAGAGGTGGCAAGAATACACAAAGAACTGTACAAAAAATGTCTTAATGACTTGGATAACCATGATAGTGTGGTCACTCACCTATCACCTAGAACCAGACATCCTGGAATGCGAAGTCAAGTGGGCCTTAGGAAGCATCACTACAAATAAAGCTAGTGGAAGTGATGGAATTCCAGCTGAACTATTTCAAATCCTGAAAGAGGATACTATTAACGTGCTGCACTCAATATGCCAGCAAATTCGGAAAACTCAGCAGTGGCCACAGGACTGGAAGAGGGCAGTTTTCATTCCAATTCCAAAGAAAGGCAATGCCAAATAATGCTCAAACTACCACACAATTGCACTCATTTCACATGCTAGCAAAATAATGCTCAAAATTCTCCAAGCTAGGCTTCAACAGTACATGAACCAATAACTTCCAGATGTTCAGACTGGATTTAGAAAAGGCAGAGGAACCAGTGATCAAATTGCCAATATCTGTTGGATCATAAGAAAAGCTAGAGAATTCCAGAAAAACATTCTACTTCTATTTTATTGACTACACCAAAGCCTTTGACTGTGTGGATCACAACAAACTGTGGAAAATTCTTCAAGAGATGGGAACACCAGACCACTTTACCTGCCTCCTGAGAAATCTGTATTCAGGTCAAAGAGCAATAGTTAGAACCAGACATGGAACAACAGACTGGTTCCAAATTGGGAAAGGAGTGCATCAAGGCTATATATTATTATCCTGTTTATTTCACTTATATGCAGAGTACATCATGAGAAACACTGGGCTGGATGAAACACAAGCTGGAATCAAGATTGTCGGAAGAAATATCAACAACCTCAGATGTGCAGATGATACCAACCTAATGGCAGAAAGCAAAGAGAAACTAAAGAGCCTCTTGATGAAAGTGAAAGAGGAGAGTGAAAAAGCTGGCTTAAAATTCAACACTGAAGAACAAAGATCATGATATCTTGTCCCACCACTTCATGGCAAATAGATGGGGAAAAAGTGGAAACAGTGACAGATTTTATTTTCTTGGGCTCCAAAATCACTGTGGATGGTGACTGCATTCACGAAATTAAAAGATGCTTGCTCTTTGGAAGAAAACCCATGACAAACCTAGATAGTGTATTAAAAAGCAGAGACATTACTTTGCCAACAAAAGTCCATATAGTCAAAACTATGGTTTTTCCAGCAGTCATGTATGGATGTGAGAACTGACCCATAAAGAAGGTTGAGCACCAAAGAATTGATGCTTTCGAACTGTGGTGCTTGAGCAGACTCTTGCGAGTTCCTTGGACAGCAAGGAGATAGAGATCAAGCCAGTCAAACCTTAAGGAAATCAACCCTGAATTTTTGTTGGAAGGACTGATGCTGAAGCTGAAACTCCAAAACTTTGGCCACCTGATGCCAAGAGTGGACTCATTGGAAAAGACCCTGATGCTGGGAAAGATTGAAGGCAGGAGAAGGGGACGACAGAGAATGAGATGGTTGGATGGCATCACTGACTCAATGGACATGAGTTTAAGCAAACTTCAGGAGATAGTGAAGTACAGGGAATCCTGTGGGGCAGTCCACGGGGTTGCAAAGAGTTGGACATGACTTAGGGACTGAACAACAAAAGAAATTGATTCCAGTATTTTCCAAAGCGGACATGTGAGAATGTTAATAGAAGATGTTCTTCAGAATGCTAGAAGGCCTTAGGCAAAACAAAACAAAACATGTAATACAAAATAAAGGGACTTTCTCTGATCAAATATGTGAGAACAGTTGTATTAAACAAACTAAACTGGAGTCTTGAGTTTGCAGGACTTGTCAGAGACTTTAGCATGCTATTGTGTGTGTGAATCTACAAGAGGTAGGCTGTAGATGTATTTTGGGAAATGCTGATTTATATAACACATCTCATTTCTACTTAAAACAATACAGAGAGGAAAATGGGTTTTGGAGGCAGGGGAGGACCATGGTGGTGTGTATATTTACCCTTCATTTACCATTTGGTAGGTGTGGTTGATGCGCAGCTTTAAGCGGTAGAGCAGGCCTTGGAAGATGTTCTCCAAGGTCAGCTGGTGGCCATTCCGTGCACGGATCGGTGTGTAGCTGGGATGGACAATCATCTGGATGGATCTCACCTTGGGGATACAGGTCACATCAGGTGGTTTGATGATAGCTAGAAAAGGGAGAGAGAAAAAAAAGAAATGAAACAGTTGGAATCAGCCAGAAGTGTCTGAGAGTCTGCCGTGGACCTTGGGAAATGACTGCTTCCCACCCCCTCCCACCCCAACCCCAGCCATGTTTCTGAAAGCGTCCACTAAATTAACAGGTGAGAAGAGACGCAACTGGTGCTTGGGTGTAAGGTTGGCAAAGGGGTGACCAAGGGTGGTCGGAAGAGCCCAGGGAGAGGGGCCCTGGCCCCCTAGGCTGATCATGCCCTTGCCCCAGCCTCCATACATCCCTACCTCAAGTCTTGTTGGACACCTTGGCAATGAGAGTTTTGGGGAGTGATGTTTCAACTATGCATCCTGAAGAATGTTTGCGGTTTCCAATATCATTGATGCAACCTCAAAGGCAAGGCCTAAGACTTCAATCTCTCTCAAGATGAATTTTCCAAATAACCAAATGACCTTTCCTGGTTTATAGACCCTTTTGTAAATTTGATGAATGCTATGGTTCTTTGCTCCCCCAAAATGTACATATACAAAAATCTTGCAAACAATTTCAGGGATTCATGTCTCCCCCTGAAGCTAACTTATAAAAAGTCCTCAAGGGTCCATTGACCTCCAAGATTAAAATGATCTGCACTAAAAGAATGTTTGCTTCAGTGTTGTTTATTAAAAAACAACAATAACAAAAAAACTGATTGCCTCCAAAAGGGAATCAGGGAAGTCAGTTAAAGTACCTCCGTAGAATGGATCATTTTTGTAGTTGTGAGATACCATGATGTGGAAAGTATTTAATGACATCTGCCTATTTGGAACATCCAAGGAGCGGCAGCTGTGTGGGCACAGGAGGGCCAAGAGGAGCTACTCCACATTCAAGGTCAGGAGGGGCGGCCCTGAGGAGAGACCCCTCGTCCAGCGTAAAGAGTAGCGGCTGTGCTTTGCTGGAGCAGCCGTGAAGAGTTACCCCACGTCCAAGGTAAGAGAAACCCAAGTAAGACGGTAGGTGTTGCGAGAGGGCATCAAAGGGCAGACACAATGAAACCATAATCACAGAAAACTGGCCAATCTGATCACAGGACCACAGCTGTGTCTAACTCAGTGAGACTGAGCCATGCCGTGGGGGGCCACCCAAGACGGACGGGTCATGGTGGAGAGGTCTGACAGAATGTGGTCCACTGGAGAAGAGAATGGCAAACCACTTCAGAATTCTTGTCTTGAGAACCCCATGAACAGTATGAAAAGGCAAAATGATAGGATACTGAAAGAGGAACTCCCCAGGTCAGGAGGTGCCCAATATGCTACTGGAAATCAGTGGAGAAATAACTCCAGAAAGAATGAAGGGATGGAGCCAAAGCAAAAACAATACCCAGCTGTGGATGTGACTGGTGACAGAAGCAAGGTCTGATGCTGTAAAGAGCAGTATTGCATAGGAACCTGGAATGTTAGGTCCATGAATCAATGCAAATTGGAAGTGGTCAAACAGGAGATGGCAAGAGTGAATGTCGACATTCTAGGAATCAGCGAACTAAAATGGACTGGAATGGGTGAATTTAACTCAGATGACCATTATATCTACTACTGTGGGCAGGAATCCCTTAGAAGAAATGGAATAGCCATCGTGGTCAACAAAAGAGTCCGAAATGCAGTAATTGGATGCAATCTCAAGAACGACAGAATGATCTCTGTTTGTTTCCAAACAAACCATTCAATATCATGGTAATCCAAGTGTATGCCCCAACCAGTAATGCTGAAGAAGCTGAAGCTGAACGGTTCTGTGAAGACCTACAAGACCTTTTAGAACTAACACCCCAAAAAGATGTCCTTTTCATTATAGGGGACTGGAATGCAAAAGTAGGAAGTGAAGAAACACCTGGAGTAACAGCAAATTTGGCCTTCAAGTACAGAATGAAGCTAGGCAAAGGCTAATAGAGCTTTGCCAAGAGAACACACTGGTCACAGCAAACACCCTCTTCCAACAACAAAAGAGAAGACTCTACACATGGACATCCCCAGATGGTCAACACCGAAATCAGATTGATTATATTCTTTGCAGCCAAAGATGGAGAAGCTATATATAGTCAGCTAAAATAAGACCGGGAGTTGACTGTGGCTCAGATCATGAACTCCTTATTGCCAAATTCAGACTTAAATTGAAGAAAGTAGGGAAAACCACTAGACCATTCAGGTATGACCTAAATCAAATCCCTTATGATTATACAGTGAAAGTGAGAAATAGATTTAAGGGACTAGATCTGATAGACAGAGTACCTGATGAACTACGGACAGAGTTTGTGACATTTTACAGGAGACAGGGATCAAGACCATCCTCATGGAAAAGAAATGCAAAAAAAGCAAATGGCTGTCTGAGGAGGCCTTGCAAATAGCTGTGAAAAGATGAGAAACAAAAAGCATAACCTCAAATAGCCAAAGTAATCCTGAGAAAGAAGAATGGAACTGGAGGAATCAATCTGCCTGACTTCAGACTATACTACAAAGCCACAGTCATCAAGACAGTATGGTACTGGCACAAAGACAGAAATATAGATCAATGGAACAGAATAGAAAGCCCAGAGATAAATCCACGAACCTATGGTCACCTTATCTTTGACAAAGGAGGCAAGGATATACAATGGAAAAAAGACAACCTCTTTAACAAGTGGTGCTGGGAAAACTGGTCAACCACCTGTAAAAGAATGAAACTAGAACACTTTCTAACACCATACACAAAAATAAACTCAAGATGGATTAAAGATCTAAATGTAAGACCAGAAACTATAAAACTCCTAGAGGAGAACATAGGCAAAACACTCTCCGACATAAATCACAGCAGGATCCTCTATGACCCACATCCCAGAATTTTAGAAATAAAAGCAAAAATAAACAAATGGGACCTAATGAAACTTAAAAGCTTTTGCACAACAAAGGAAACTATAAGCAAGGTGAAAAGACAGCCCTCAGATTGGGAGAAAATAATAGCAAACGAAGCAACAGACAAAGGATTAATCTCAAAAATATACAAGCAACTCCTCCAACTCAACTCCAGAAAAATAAATGACCCAATCAAAAAATGGGCCAAAGAACTGAACAGACATTTCTCCAAGGAAGACATACAGATGGCTAACAAACACATGAAAAGATGCTCAACATCACTCATTATCAGAGAAATGCAAATCAAAACCACAATGAGGTACCATTACACACCAGTCAGAATGGCTGCTATCCAAAAGTCTACAAGCAATAAATGCTGGAGAGGGTGTGGAGAAAAGGGAACCCTCTTACACTGTTGGTGGGAATGCAAATTAGTACAGCCACTATGGAAAACAGTGTGGGGATTTCTTAAAAAGCTGGAAATAGAACTGCCATATGACCCAGCAATCCCACTTCTGGGCATACACACCGAGGAAACCAGATCTGAAAGAGACACGTGTACCCCAATGTTCATCGCAGCACTGTTTATAATAGCCAGGACATGGAAGCAACCTAGATGCCCATCAGCAGATGAATGGATGAGGAAGCTGTGGTACATATACACCATGGAATATTACTCAGCCATTAAAAAGAATTCATTTGAATCAGTTCTAATGAGATGGATGAAACTGGAGCCCATTATACAGAGCGAAGTAAGCCTGAAAGATAAAGACCATTACAGTATACTAACACATATATATGGAATTTAGAAAGATGGTAACGATAACCCTATGTGCAAAACAGAAAAAGAGACTCCTATGTATAGAACAGACTTGTGGACTCTGGGAGAAGGCGAGGGTGGGATGTTTCAAGAGAACAGCATTGAAACACGTATATTATCTAGGGTGAAACAGTTCACCAGCCCAGGTTGGGTGCATGAGACAAGTGCTCGGGCCTGGTGCACTGGGAAGACCCAGAGGGATTGGGTGGAGAGGGAGGTGGGAGGGGGGACCAGGATGGGGAATACATGTAAAAAAAAAAAAAAAGATACACTATGGTTGTGATAAAAAAAAAATAAATTAATTAAAAAAAAAAAAAAGCAAAGGAGAAAAGGAAAGATTCCCATTTGAATGTAGAGTTCCAAAGAAAAGCAAGGAGAGATAAGAAAGCCTTCCTCAGTGATCAAAGCAAAGAAATAGAGAAAAATAACAGAATGGGAAAGACTAGAGATCTCTTCAAGAAAATTAGAGATACCAAGGGAACATTTCATGCAAAAATGGGCTCGATAAAGGACAGAAATGGTATGGACCTAACAGAAGCAGAAGATATTAAGAAGAGGTGGAAAGAATACACAGAAGAACTGTACAAAAAAGATCTTCATGACCCAGGTAATCACAATGGTGTGATCACTCACCTAGAGCCAGACATCCTGGAATGTGAAGTCAAGTGGGCCTTAGAAAGCATCACTATGAACAAAGCTAGTGGAGGTGATGGAATTCCAGTTTAGCTATTTCAAATCCTGACAGATGATGCTGTGAAAGTGCTGCACTCAATATGCCAGCAAATTTGGAAAACTCAGCAGTGGCCACAGGAGTGGAAAAGGGCAGTTTTCATTCCAATCCCAAAGAAAGGCAATGTCAAAGAATGCTCAAACTACCGTGCAATTGTACTCATCTCACATGCTAGTAAATAATGCTTAAAATTCTCTAAGCCAGGCTTCAGCAATATGTGAACCATGAACTTCCAGATGTTCAAGCTGGTTTTAGAAAAAGCAGAGGAACCAGTGATCAAATTGCCAACATCCGCTGGATCATCAAAAAAGCAAGAGAGTTCCAGAAAAACATCTATTTCTGCTTTATTCACTATGCCAAAGCCTTTGACTGTGTGGATCACAACAAACTGTGGAAAATTCTGAAAGAGATGGGAATACCAGACCACCTGACCTGCCTCTTGAGAAGCCTGTATGCAGGTCAGGAATCAACAGTTAGAACTGGACATGGAACAACAGACTGGTTGCAAATAGGAAAAGGAGTATGTCAAGGCTGTATATTGTTACCCTGCTTATTTAACTTATATGCAGAGTACATCATGAGAAATGTTGGGCTGGAGGAAGCACAAGTTGGAATCAAGATTGCCAGGAGAAATATCAATAACCTCAGATATGCAGATGACACCACCCTTATGGCAGAAAGTGAAGAGGAACTAAAAAGCCTCTTGATTAGAGTGAAAAAGTTGATTGAAAGCTCAACATTCAGAAAACTAAGATCATGGCATCTGGTACCATCACTTCATGGCAAATAGATGGGGAAACAGTGGAAACAGTGGCAGACTTTATTTTTTTGGGTTCCAAAATCACTGAAGATGGTGATTGCAGCCATGAAATTAAAAGATGCTTACTCCTTGGAAGAAAAGTTATGACCAACCTAGATAGCATATTAAAAAGCAGAGACATTACTTTGCCAACAAAGGTCCGTCTAGTCAAGGTTATGGTTTTTCCAGTGGTCATGTATGGATGTGAGAGTTGGACTGTGAAGGAAGCTGAGTGCCAAAGAATTGATGGTTTTGAAATGTGGTGTTGGAGAAGACTCTTGAGAGTCCCTTGGACTGCAAAGAGATCCAACCAGTCCATCCTAAAGGAGATTAGTCCTGGGTGTTCATTGGAAGGACTGATGCTGAAGCTGAAACTCCAATACTTTGGCCACCTCATGCGAAGAGTTGACTCATTGGAAAAGACCCTGATGCTGGGAGGGATTGGGGGTAAGAGGAGAAGAGGGCGACAGAGGGTGAGATGGTTGGATGGCATCACCGACTCGATGGACTTGAGTGTGGGTAAACACCGGGATTTTGTGACAGACAGGGAGGCCTGGCGTGCTGTGATTCATGGGGTTGCAAAGAGTAGGACATGACTGAGTGACTGAACTGAACTGAAGTGTTCATGATACCATGATATGAAAAACAAACCACCTGGTCACAAAAGAGTAGATACAGCTGCTAGTAACTGCAGTTATGTTTAAGTGTTCAGATTATTTGGGCTTAGCTTTATTTTTCTTTGCGTATTTCTATATTTTCCAAATTTCCTACAATAACTATGCATTAATTGAACAACCTGAGAGACAATATAAAATAACTTGCTGAATTTTATCTTTTATTTTCTTAAAAAACCATGTGACTTTTAAGTCAGTTAGTGAACATCACCACCTTAACTTGAGTGAGGAGTTTAACGACTCATCCATTTATCCATCCACCCATCTAACCCTCCATCAGTTATGTATGGAGCAACTCCTATGTGCCAGGTGCTATGTTAGGGACTAGGAATACAATGGATCCCATGCCCACGCATGCCTTCATGGAGCTCACATTTCAATTCAGATGATACCCGTGCAAGCAAACAATAAAGACAGTTATGATCTGAGCTCTGAAGTCAGTGAAGAGCTCATGGTGATGGAAAATAGCAGGTGATGACCTGTATCATAAAAGGGAGTTGTTGGGGCTGTGGGGTGGGGATATTCACTTAGGAGGTGATGTGGACACTGAAACCATGACTGCGGATTGGAAAAGAGTCAAAGAAGGAGTAGGGGGATGGAGTTAGGAGGCCTTGGTTGCGCTAAAGTGGTGAGGTGAATGTGGTCTGCATACGAGAGGTCTAGAGATGGAGAAAGATGGAGAACCACACGGGGGATGCTGTCCAGTCTGGGGCGTCTTCCGTAAAAGCCACATCCTTAACTGGCCCTGAGAGGCAGAGCCCCTCTGGACGCTCCACCCACTCCAGAGGGGAAAAGGCCATCCTCGCACCCCAGATCCTGTGCAACGAAAGTCCCCCACTCACTGTGCTGCAGTGAGTTGAAGCGGTCAGTCATCTTGGTGGCAGACCGGCCTGTCCCGTCAGTGGCGGTGACCCGGGCGTAGTAGAGCTCAGTGAGGTTGCCTGTCTCCACGGTAAGGTTGCAGGATTTCCGGGTGATCCGCTGGCAGCCCTCCTTTTCCAACCACTCTCCTTCTCCATACCTGTGGGCCAGGGAGGGGCTGGAGCACACCCTTCATGAACAGGCTTGGCAGCCAGCCTGTGGTTTATTAATATTGATAACGATATTGAATATTTACTTAGCACGTGTGTCCCAGGCTTTTTATGCAGATGATCTGTTAGTCTTCAGATCAACCTCACAACAGTGTTGCGAGGTTCACACATTATTAATATCTTCCTTCCTTTTCAAGTCAGGAAGCTGGGGCTTCAGGAAGTAAAATTTGCCCAGGTGTTTGCATCATGCATGCAGGGAGCCAGGATGTGAACTCAGACAGTTTGAGTTCATATTCTGGGCACTGGTAGGCCCATTTAAAGGTCAGGGACCTGGGCCTCGGAGAGGGCAAGTGACTTGCCACAAGATGAAGTGGCAGGAGGAGGAATGGCACCCAGGTTTGCAGATTCCTGAGCCCATGCAACCCCCTTCTCCTGCCTGGGAAGGGAGATGAGCAGGAATGGGGCTGGGTGGGGGCTGGAGGGGGTGAACGAGACTTTTTGTTGACTGGCGTGCATGCGTGCTCAGTCGCTTCAGTTATGTCCGACTCTGTGCAACTCTATAGACTGCAGCCTACCAGGCTCCCAGTCCATGGGATTCTCCAGGCAAGAATACTGGAGTGGGTTGCCATGCCCTCATCCAGGGGATCTTCCTGACTCCGGGGTGGAACCTCTTCCGTCTACCTGCGTCAGCAGGCAGGTTCTTTACCACTAGCGCCACCTGGTTGCTGATTTAGTCTTCCCCAAATAACAAAGCAATGGTTGGGCATTTGTTCTTTGCCAGGCACACATGCTAATGACTCACTTAGCCCATCCAACAACCGTAAGAGGAAGGTGTTATTGCTATCTTTACTTCATGGATGGGAAATGGAGGCTGGGTGAATTTATCTACCCGCCCGGGGTTATAGGATGAGGGGCTGGAGCTTGCCTTCAGAGCCCGTACTTGTAACCATCATTCTAACCTCTCCCTGCAGAAGAAACTTCAAGGAACAAAGCCATGTCTTGGGGGAGCGTTGCTGAGTGATGCCAGTCTGGGTCCAAGGGGGGGCGTGGGGACATACGGAAGAGGGGAGGGTTTTCTTTGGTTTCAGAGCAGAGCCAAAGGGGTCACATTGCTGGGGAGCCTACGTCTTATACTGGACGCTGTAGATGGCGTCAGGGGCACTCTCCGGCCTGCCGTCCCACGTCAGGATGTTTTCGAAGTTGCTGGACTGGAACTTCACGTGCTGAAGGAGATCCGAGGTGTCCTCAGCGATGTGAGCTGCCAGAAGTGGGGGCAGGGTGAGCAGGTGGGTGCAAAGACCCCGCCCTAGCCCTCTTTCGAGTTGCCAACTGAGGGGGTGAGCCAGCAACCACTTAGCAGGAGACTGTGCTAGCTGACCCTCCCGCTCCCTTCACTTCTTTTTTTCCTTTTTATTGAGCTATGATTCACATTCCATACAATTCACCACTTAAAATCATACAGTTCCGTGGTATCCTAAATATATTCACAAGGTAGTGTAGACCACTGCCTCAGGACGTGTTCATCGCCCACAAACAAATTTTGTATCCGTGAGCTGTCATTCCTATCCTTCCCCGTCCTCCCAGCCCCAGGCAACCAATAATCTACTTCCTGTCTCAATGACTTTGCCTATTTGGACATTTTGTACAAATGAAGTTATCCAATTGCCTTTGGTGTCTGGCTTCTTTCACTTAGCTTCATGTTTTCATGGTTCATCCATATTACATGAATTGGTACTTATTTCCTTCTTATGGTTGAATCATATTCCCTTGTGTGGCTACGTCACATTCTGTTTATCCTCCCATCAGCTGATGGACATTTGGATTGTTTCCATTTTCTGGCTATTTTGAGTAATGCTGCTGCAAATATTAGTGCACACATTTGTGAAGTGGACATAAGTTCAGTAGGAGTGGGATTTCTGGGTCATATGGTGATTCTATGTTGAACTTTTGAGGAACAGCCAAACTGTTTTCCAGAGAAGTGACTGCAACATCTCACATTACCATCAGCGATGTCTGAGTGGGTGCGGTTATTCCACAGCCTTGTCGACACTTGCCACTGTGTTCATTTCTCAGCACCATCTGAAGTCAGTGTTCTCACCAAGGGAATATGTTAGAGGTACTCAACTAATGTCTAAGAAGCAACTTTCCTAGAACCAGTCATTTCAAGCAAGGGTGAAGAAGATGTTTGTGAATCCTTGCCTCTCTGTTGGTGGATCCAGTCCCTGCCCACCCACCACACACCTGCTGAGGAGGGCAAAGGCGCCTTCGGCAGCCCCATGGATTTCATAGGGGGAGGATGCTGACTGAGGCCACATACAGCTTCATGGGGTCGCAAACAGTTGGACATGATTGAGTGACTGAACTGAACTGAACAGGTAGTGTGACCTTGGGGAAGCTGTTTAAGCCATTAGAAGTTCAATTTCTTCAGCTCTATAATGGAAATAATTGGACCACAGCAGCTGACATGTCTGAAATGCACATCAAGTGCCAGGCACTGGGCTAAGTCTCCACATCTAATCCTCCTGACCACCTGAAGAGGTAGGTTATGCCCATTTCATGGATGAGGAAAACTGAGGCTCAGAGAGGCAGTGTGCAATACTCATCACAGCAGTTAGCCTGCTTTTGGGGCAGATACAATGGGCCGAGGAAGGGGCAACAAAAGCCAGAGCCCCAAGAAGAGGACCCAGAAGGAGGCACTGACCCTGACACAAATCTTCACTGTAAATGAGAGCCCTTGACTTACAAATAGATCTCCTCTCAGCCCTCCCAGCTTGATCTGAAGAAAGGAGAGCACAGGAAAATGGCGACCAGAGCGGCAGCTGGCTCTGCGCATGCTCAAAGGGCCTGGTTGGCCGGGGTGGGAAATAAACAGGTGCAGACGCAGCAGAGTCAAGGCCTTGAGGCCTGTGTGTACATGTCTTTGATGTGATGTGTGGCCTCCCCCCACCTCCAGCCCAGTCAATGATGATGACTGCCGGACGGTCCAGAGAGCGAGGCAGTGGAGAGTTATTTACTCCTCTACTCCAAGTCTACGTACAGGATTTCTGCAAGAGAGGTCTACGGGCTAGGGAGGCATTTGTGGGGAAAGGAAAGTATCTTAGGGCAGCCTGACTCCGCTGTGCATCCATGTGCTAAATCTAAGGCCACATCCTCCTTTGAATCTGGGTGGATTAGGCAGGCCCGGCAGCTGCAGAATTCTTTGTGTTCTTGGAGCCCCCAGACTGGGGTCTTAGGGTGCGGGGGTTTCTTCGGGCCTCTAGCCAATGTGCTGGATACGGTGCTGAGTCCCAAGGTGTGGCTGGGATCTTGTTTGGATCTGAGTCTTGGCGGAACTGGGGTCTGTTCTGGGGCGAGGGATTCCCAGATGGTGCTAATGGTAAAGAACCCGCCTGCCAGTGCAGGAGACAGAAGAGACGCAAGTTCGATCCCTAGGTCGGGAAGATCCCCTGGAGGACGGTATGGCAACCCACTCCTCAAATTCTTGCCTGGAGAATCCTATGGACAGAGAAGCCTGGCAGGCTATGGTCCACAGGGTCACACTGAGTTGGACATGACTTCGCAACTGAGCACGCACTCACTGAAGGGAGGGGTCCTGCATTCAGAACTGGGTCTTAAGTTGAGGCAGGGAGCCCACTTGAGGTCAGAACTCAATGGTGGCTTCGGGCAAGGTGGTGAGGTCAAGAGCAGGCAAGAGAGAGGGATTTGAGAGAAGGCCAGGGTGTGCCTGGAGGCGGGCTCGGCTATGGTCTGCAGGCGGAGGGTGGCTGGTTGGGGTCATTATCTTGGGTGGGCCACGTGGATTTGGAGGAGGCAGGTGGCTGAGGCTGGGATGTGCTAGGGAGGTGAAGGTCCCAGGTTGGATGGAGATGGGGACCACTTTCCAAGAAGGAAGTGAAGTTGGCTTCCTGAAGTCAGGTTGGTGGACCTTGGCAGCCCCCCTCTTTTAGGGGGTGTTGAGGGCTAACAAGATCTCCCCCTTTCCTCCTGTCTACTCATTCCTTTTCCCTCTCAAATTCATCATCAGCTCCTTAGCCCACATCATTTCTGCACTTCCTGGGTAAAAGTCTACATTGTGAAATCGTAGGGACACGTGTATTGTCTAGAGCTTGACAGCCTGGGAGATCTGATCAAAGGAAGTTTTTGCACTTGCTAGGAAAAACAATTCTACGTCAATCAGTTGGGAAGCTAAGGACAGACAAGCAAAAGCAATTCAACTTGCTCTGGAATCAGCCGAAGAGTTTCAAAGAAGGCGTCTGGGTCTCCAGAGTGAACTTAGACTCCTAACCACTTTCTAAAGGCTGGTACCCCCTGGGTCCCACATCGTGAAGGGCCAATGGCCCCCAGCCAGAATGGGTGGGGGTCTGGAGGGACAGATCTGGGGTCTCTTGGGGGGGAAGCATCAAGTCTCCTGAACTTATCGTGAGTTCAGTGTGTTGGGAATGCCAGGCTTGATGCCCAGGGGAGGGTGAACTGGAGGGCTGGGATGGCAGCTGGAAGCCCCGTGCATCCACGCAGCACACACCACGCGCAGCACTGGAGGGGCTGGAAGCTCCAGCCCTTTATGGCCTTCACCCTGCTTTTGAGCTCAAAGGGACCTTGCAGCGGCCACCCCTCCCCCTTCTTCAGCTGGGACTATGCTTTCACTTTCTCAGAAAGTTCCCTGAATTTTATTAAACATCTCAGGGAGCAGAGAGATAATCTAGGATCTCAAGCATTGGTCCTGAAGTTCTCCATAACCACACATCAAAGAATCTACTTTATTGGCTGTGAAGACTATGTCCTTGAGCCCCATTTTCTTAAGAGTGCTGGTGTTTGAAGACCTATTAGTGCAACAGACCTGAGCACTCTGTGAGAGAGGGCTCTTTCAGGTCTGCCACAAAGGGGCTGCAAGAGGCTGCCTTGGGGAGCGTGGAAGGCGGCAGTGGCCAGACTCAAGCTTTGTCCATCTCGATGCTTCCTCACCTCCCCAAGTCAGGCCAGCACCGGCCAGAAGCAGAGGAAAGAAGCACAACTTCCACCAGAAAGATGTGAGCTGTCCAAGGATGTCCGTCTCCCTCAAGCTAGTTCTCCATCCGCTGGGGTGGGAGCATCCACAGATTCAGAATGGTGACAGTCTTAAGGGTCAGCTGAGTCTCTGGAAGAACCCAAGATCTCAGGGACCCTCTCTCCCCTCCCCCCCCCGCCCCCCCGCAACCTGAGCTGCTATCTACTTCTCCCCAGAAACTCCCAGTGCAGCCCAGCAGAGAAGAAACTGAAATTGCTTGTGCTGGGGCTGGATGGGGTTCCGGGGGGAGGACAGCCCTGATCATCGACTCCTAGTAGGGGCACGTCTGACCACAGGGTGGTGGGCACTCACCGACCAGGGATCCCGCCGCCAGGATGGTCAGTAGCGTCCTCATCGGGGCCGGGCACAGAGCCCGCTTTCGGTCTCCACTCCACTGAGCCCAGAGGAAGGGCTGAGAAGCTTTGGCGCCTTGGCAGCTGGCTCCACCCAGGCACGAGGGCGGGGAAAGGAGGAAAGGTGGGGCCTGGGCAGTGGGGAGCTGGGTACAAAGGTGCCTGGTCCGTGTGCTTCGGAATTCCAGGTCCTGGGCGGGATCCAAGGGAGTTCCCTTCGTAAGTGCAGAAAACAGCAACAGTGATGGACTGGCTTGTTTATCTGGTCCGGTGGCTGATTCATCCTAAGACTTCAGTGCTTTATTAGGGAACTGATAGGCAGAAAAGACAAAAATAATCCGTGATGTACAGCCTTATCTGGGAGCAAGTTGGCACTGGGTATCAAAAGCTTGCAACTTACAAACTACCTTTTGCTCTGGTGATTCCATCCATGGGGATTCACCCTGAGGAAAGCAACTGGAGCAGAGGCAGGAGCAGAAGATATGTTCTGGAAAGTTCCTTGTGGCAGAGGAAAAGCTAGACTCCTTGGTTTTGTTCTGGCAAGAAGAGATAAATGTCTTTGCTTGTGTCTTGTGCTATGTATTGATGTAGGTCTGCCATGATGGATGCTGGGCTTGGGAATAGCTTTCCACCCAGAGAGGCTGCTGGGGGTGAGAGGCCCAGGCCCTCCTACCTTGAGCCTTGGGAATTTGGAACCTGCAAAAGGGGGAAAAAAAAGGATCTGAGATTTCAGTGACTTGTTCTACTGTGTTAGAGATGAGGGCAAAATTCAGGAATGGGCTTTTGATTGGGGACCATGAACATTCAAACTGCTCACCCAAGCTGTCCCATCATGTGCAGCTGGATCTATAGGGATTACATGATATCCACTGGGACGGGTGTTTAGGCAATGATTTTCCCCTCCTCACTGGGCCTCAAGAGAAGGTTGAAGGGGCCTGGACTCTGGTTAGGGTGGACATTATCAGAGATCTCTACCTCTGGGGAGAGTTTGACCAGTTCCAGTCACACAATAGCTGGCTGAGTCCTGTAGCAGGACAGCTGGGTCCTCAGGGAGGGCATAGAGGCCTTGGTTTTCGGATGTAGTAAGTTGTGACAGCCAGGGATCTGTATTTAAGTTTTTCTTTTCTGTGTTGTCCTTGTTTTCTGTCAGTTCCGAGTCCTTGGCAAAGTTTGTTTGACTAAACAGCCACAGTTGAGCTGTGCTTTGGGGGAATTAAGGCATGGTTTGTGCCAGTCCTGTCCTGTTAATTGCAGGAAACTGCATTTCCCAGAATCCTTTGCCAGTGGCTTCCTGCTAGGTTCCGCCAGTGGGAGGCACGGGAGGCAGACAGGCGAGCTGGAGGAGAGAAGTCAGGGGACTTCCCCCCCTCTTCCTCCACTTTGAGTGGCCTCCCCCAAAGGCAGTGTCTCCCCTGGAGCTCCCGCTGCCTCCAGCCAGGCAGCCGCCATCGTTCCGTCAGGTGGCCTGGGCTCTGATAGCATCTCCTTCCATTTTCCCCTTTAGTTCAAAGGATGGAGCAACTTCCTGCTGCGGTGACTCTCTGGGCTGTTTCTCAGCTCTTTCATCACCTGGGCAACCAACTCGCTTCCGTGAAAGTCTCTTGGTTTGAAAGACTTAAGAGGTTTCTGTGCTCCTGAGTGGACTATGATGGCTGTAGGCCTGTGATGACTTTAGGGACAAGGGGGTGTGGGGAGATCACGGTCAGAGAAACAGGTTACAAAAATGCCAAGAAGGGCTCGTCAGGAGAGGAGCAGTCACTGGAGCAATCTGGGCTGGTTGGATGAGAGGACAGGCTGCAAGCCTGTAGGTCTGTGGAAAGTGAAGTCTTCTTTGGAGACTCTCAGAAACTCCTGGAAGAAGGAATCTGTGAGAGAACTAGGCCCCCCATACTTAGGAGGGGCTATGAGTAAGAGACTATTAATGACAAGGAAGACACCTGGATTGTTAAAGAACTTGAGAACATCAGACATCATTTCTAATAGTAAAAAATAAAAGAGAACAACATTCATATCTGACTCTAAGGGTTTGGTTAAATGCATAACTGTTAAGTCCATCCAATGCAGGATGAATGTGGCCTTCAAAAGAACGCTGGAGAAAACTGTTTTGTGACCCAGGTAAAGGGTCACCATATTTTACTAGATGAAAAGAAGCCTGGGGAATTCCTTGGTGGTCCAGTGGTTAGGCCTTAGCGTTTTCACTGCTGATGGTGCTGGTTCAATTCCTGGTTGGGGAACTAACATCCCATAAACTGGCCAAAAAAAAAAGAAGCATGGCACAAACTATGCACAGTACAAGGCATGCTAAAACACATGCACGCATAAAGAAAAAAGTCTGAAAGATATATATGAAAACCTTCATGGAATTATCTCTGGGTGGTAGTAGAATTAAAGGTATTTTTATTTCCCTTCCTTTGCTCATTTGCATTTTTTAAAGCTCTTATAGGAAATATATTATTTTATGACTGCAGCCATAAAATTAAAAGACGCTTGCTCCTTGGAAGAAAACCTATGACCAACTTAGGCGCATATTAAAAAGCAGAGACATCACTTTGCCAACCAAGGTCCATCTAGTCAAAGCTAAGGTTTTCCAGTAGTCATGTATGGATGTGAGAGTTGAACCATAAAGAAGGCTGAGCACTGAAGAATTGATGCTTTTGAACTGTGGTGCTGGAGAAGACTATTGAGAGTCCCTTGGACAGCAAGGAGATCAAACCAGTCCATCCTAAAGGAAATAAGTCCTGACTATTCATTGGAAGGACTGGTGCTGATGCCGAAGCTCGGATATTTTGGCCACCTGATGTGAAGAGTTGACTCTTTGGAAAAGATCCTGATGTTGGGAAAGGTTGAGGCCCGGAGGAGAAGGGGATGACAGAGGATGAAATGGTTGGATGGCATCACCGACTCAATGGACATGAGTTTGAACAAACTCTGGGAGATAGTGAAGGACAGGGAAGCCTGGCATGCTGTAGTTCATGGGGTCACAAAGAGTTGGACACGACTTAATGACTGAACAACAAAATATTAAGGAAAAGTAAGGTGACAGTACAACGCAAGTGGACATTGAAGAAATGCCTTTGTCTAGGCTGGGCCTGTCTCTGTGGGTTTCTTTTCCCTCAACCAGAGACCCACTCTTCAAAGCCAGCTGGGATGGTCTCTCCTCTGCTCACGACAGCTCCAGACTATCACAGATTCACTCTGAAAAATCCTTCCAGAAGATGTGGTATATACATGAATATACATAATGAAATATTGCTCAGCCTTAAAGAAGAACGAAATAATTCCACTTGCATATTCATTGCAAATGGATAATTCATGGATGGACCCAGAGATTACATACCAAGTGAAGTCAGACAGAGAAAGACAAATATCATATGCTACCACTTACATGTGAAATCTAAAATGATACAAATAAACTTTTTTTACAAAACAGAAACAGACTCACAGATTTAGAAAACAAATTTATGTTTACCAAAGGGGAAAAGAGGAGAGGGATAAATTAGGAGATTGGGCTTGGCATATATACACTATTAAATATAAAATAGATGACCAACAGGGACCTACTGCAAAGCACGAGGAACCCTATTCAGGACTCTGTAGTGACTTATACAAGAGGGGGATCTGGAAAAGAATAGGTTTGTGTATATGTATAGCTGTATCACTGTGGTACACCTGGAATGAAAGCAACATTATAAATCAATCCTATTCCAATACAAAACTAAAAATTAAAAAAATCCTTCTTGAACTCTGGTATGCTGTGTACTTGGCATTGTCCAATATTATTCTTGAGTTGTGCTCATGCCTATGACTGGAAAAAAGAGACTCTGGTGGGGGCAAAATGGGGTGCCAGCATCGTCTTCAAATACCAGACAGGCTGCTGCATGGAGAAGAGTTGAATCCCTTTTTGGTAACTGCCTCCAAACAGGAAAACCAGAGTACAGAGTAAGGGGACATATTAAAGAGGCAAATTCCTTTTGGTTTAAGGAAGCAGCTCTCCCCACGAAGGTATGGCCGACTTTGTGATGGGCTGCACTTGGTTGCTGGGGGTATTCAGTGAGAAGGTAAGACCACTGGGAGATGCTCCCTAGATGACCTTCTTCTCTGGCCTGTCAAGTTTAAGGTGTTTGTCTCCCCAGTGAGGAAGAAAATGTTCTAAGTACAATAAATAAGTAAGTGAAGTCGCTCAGTCATGTCAGACTCTTTGTGACCCCATGGACTGTAGTCTCCTCTGTCCATGGGATTTTCCAGGCAAGAGTACTGGAGTGGGTTGCCACTTCCTTCTCCAGGAGATCTTCCCGACCCAGGAATTGAACCTGCGTCTCCCGCATAGGCAGACGCTTTACCGCCTGAGCCACCAGGGGAGTAAAGAGCACCCCGTGTATTTCTCTGCTCCCTCCTCTTTACTCGCTCTGTATCCTTCACAGAGCAGCTCTCCAGCACCGGCTTACAGAACTGACCTTTATCTCAGCAGATTGCCCTTGCTAGCTCTTTTACACAGACAGCCAGAAAAATGCACTTGTTTTCCCTCTGATAACATTTTCCAATTACACCTTGCATTGTCCAGCCTCTGAGCCTTTGCACAGGCTGCACCCAGAACTGCCCAGAACACCTTGTCCATCCCACTTTAATTCCTCTTCATTCTTGACCGCTTCTCAAGCTCACTTCCTCCAGGAAGCCTTCCCCATGTGATCAGTTCATCAGGGTAGATTAGGAGCTGCAGCTCCCATGACGCCCTGTCTCTCCTCCAACCTGGTATGTATCTCACCACATTATTTGTTTCCCCATTTCGGGGACAGAGCATGTAACTTGCGTCCTGCATGAGCTGACACCAAGTGGGTACCCAGGAATATTTGCCGGATGAATGAATGTGCTGAGGAAGCTGGCCAGGGCTTCCCTGGAATACCCCTAAGGTGTGGAAAAAGCATTTCCTAAAATGCCAAATACTCAGGGATGTGACCTGCTCCGGTCCTGTCTCTGAACACCCAGGGATGCCAGAACTTGTTCT